GGTGTATGATGAGTGGTGTTTGATGAGTGGTGTATGATGAGTGGTGTATGATGAGTGGTGTATGATGAGTGGTGTATTGATGAGTGGTGTATTGATGAGTGGTGTATGATGAGTGGTGTATGATGAGTGGTGTATGATGAGTGGTGTATGGTGAGTGGTGTATGATGAGTGGTGTATGATGAGTGATGTATTGATGAGGGGTGTATGATGAGTATTGTATTGATGAGTGGTGTATGAACAGTTCTTGAATGTCCGTAACACGGAAGTTTCGTTCACTAAACTTCCTTTGACAAGTTAAAACAATAACGCCAAAATTTCAATCTATTGTATATCAACAAGAAAGACAACTCCAGCTTTTTGATCCCTCACCTCACCCTGTTGATGTCCATGTGCCTTCAATGCCTGACACTTCCAACCCAAACATGAAAAAAATCAAAGTCACAAGGACGAACGTGTATACACATACCCCGCTTGAATGATCATGAATCTACAATCCTAATGTGCACCTAAAGTATGCTGGTCACATGTCGAGATGTGTCATCATAGCTGCAATCATGAATCCCACTCCGATGCTTTGAAGGCTCGCAAACATGTTTCTACAAAATAGGTCCCTCGGCTTGACCAAAAGCACTGGTCAACTGTGACCGAGCAACTTGTCTTGATTCGCGTATCTATTTTTGTGCCACTTGCGTCATTTTTTTGGGGTTTGATTGTCAGGTACTTTTCTTTGTCGACCCTCTTTGTTGTCAGGTCGTGCTTCATGGCCTGGTGTGGCACTTGGCAGAACCATGGTGGATGGTACGTAGACACACATATTGACTCTAGACTTAGACGGATGCGCTGCATGCATACACGCTTCATGCTTCTGAAACTTCACTGGCAAGGTCGATTTTATATTCCCTTGTTTTTGTTCAGCACTCAGACCATGTTCCTTAATCCTCAACATGGCAAAGTTTGATTGTGCGGCAATTAAGATATGCTGGAGGCGCAGTTGGTGTTTCTCGCAAAGTGCAAGCATAATGTGAATTTGCTCCGGAGAACTGGCATTTCAATTGCGCTCCCTTGTCCGCACAGTGAAGCTTAGCTTTCCGTGATTTGATGGATCCTTTCATCATGATAAAAAGGGATGGCGCCATCTCGTTGACCTCCAAGTAAACTAGGTTGTACGCACAAAACGCATCCCTTAGTATTGGCACATGCCAAGGCACGATGGCGAGGTTGAGCTGCCGAAGAAACACCATCGCCATCAAGCCAAACATATAGGGAACAACCATGTGAAGAAACTGAAGAAGCACCATACTGTGAGCCAGCTCAAAGTTAACGAGATCAAGGAGATCCCCAATTGCAGGGTGGAGTATACTTGCGATGCTCACAGAACACGGTCCTTTGGAGACTATGCGCGGAAACACATTGCCGTCCGTGGCCCAATCATTTGAAGTTTCCCCCTTTGCTCGCTTTGGGTCGATACGTCGATAGGATAGTTCCGAGAGTCCTATGATATGAGGTCTACACTTACAACATTGGCTCTTACGAAGGTGGCATGAGGAATGAGGATGTACCATGTGTCCCGAGCAATGTGGATGCCCCTCGGTGGTGAAGCACGAGGAACTTACAGTATCGTGCTGGCCACTAGTTCCAGGCCGCTATCATGATGAATATGACACTAGCAGCCTGATCATGAATCATGAGTACTCTCATTAAATAGTTTCTTTTTCTTCCTTCTTTGCCAAGGCTTTTTTATTTCTTGATGATGACACAAAGCAGCGCTCGGACTCCAATGCCTTGAACCTGTGGAAGAAGCAGGGCTGGCAAGTCAAGTCCATTTCCTTACAGGCTGGCAGCGAGTTTGTCACCGGCGCACGGCTGACATCGAAATTGCTAAAGTTCACTCCTCCGACGTGGCTTGTGCATCCTGTCTGAAAATTGATCCACAGCGCTCATTGTTTTGTTTTTCCTTTCTCATCAATCACGGGCACAGATGCTTATGGCTTATGCTAGGTGTTCAAGTCTGGCCATAAGCATGTAAAATGTTGTGTGGTTCTGCCAGAAGGAGTATAGTGGTCTTGGGGTCTGTGCCATCTACTCTGAAACCACTGTATATATATATATATTTAGTGCCGTGGGTATTTTGAGACTCAGACTCAAACGGCGGATGTTTATTTCAGCGTGCACACTGTAAACCGGCCGCTGATTTTTATTGCTGTTCAACGTCACTTGTGGGGTGGGGGGTTGGGGGGGCAATGAAAGCCTTCGTTCTACATTGATCATAAGTGTCATTGCATTGCATGCAAATATGATTGCTGCAGTTTGTTGGCACACTTGACACCCTTCTGTAACACATAGATTAGTGACGGAACCATGGCAGACTCTATGACTTCCAGTCAAGCTGCTCCCTGTTGATGGTGGGCTTTGTAGAAGCTTGACAGTTCAATTCCCGAATCTTGAACTTTCATCGCTGACACGCTTGACAATTCCAGAAACGTTTGTGGAAGTTCTTTGCCAACTGCACTTCCACAGAAGCGTTTGTATTCCTTGCGGCTGAACACTGAACAGCTCCATGAGGGAGTTGCGTCTAGACATTGTTCTCTTTGTTTTGTGTTGTTGGTGAGACTTTCCCGCGAGGAACATCTTTTTCCAGTGACATTCTTAGTACATTCTTAGTGTGCACAAACAGGTTTTAGGACATGAGTGTTTGGACGTTGTTGTGGACCTGGATGGTTTCCCTCGAGTTTGCATGTTCAGAACATTTTCATGAAATGTTGTTTCAGTGGTGCTCCTCAAGGCAGACAAAAACCTGACCCAAACACACTGTCCTCGGGTGGTGAAAAAAAAAACGGACGCGCTGCTGTGTTTGGGCGTCTTCTTCGAAGGAGGGGCCGAATTCTAGCCGCTAGCCGCTAGCCTGTATGGATGGTTTCAGATGGTTTATTTCAGATTGTTTTGGAGCTTGATATATACAGTGAAAGAGAGTGTGACGTTTCATGGAAGGAATGGTGAATGGGAATGGCTGGTTGAATTTGACGGCAACGTGGTCTTGGATTTGCACACACTGGGTTCTTTCCTGGACAAATATGTGTCGAAACCGCTGCTATTGCTGGATTGGAGCTATCATGAAGACTGTGGAGATGACGGGTTTCAGTGCTTCAGCAGAGAGCTGAATGATATGCTGCGCACGCGTCGCAAATACATCGAAGATTCCAAGGAGAATATTGAAGCATGGCAATTTGTCTGAAAGATCAGTTGGGGAACCTATTCAAGAAAGCTTATTAGTGCTAGCCACTATGGATGCATGCAGGTAGAAAGTCCATGCTTGACCCAAACTTGTTTTGCCAAGGGAGCGCAAGCTGGCCAAGGAGCATGAAGGGATTTCTGGAACAAGGACGGCAAAGAGCAGGGAAAGAGAGAAGAACGTTTTGATGAGTCATTCTTAATCGCCGCTTTTTGTTTTCATACGATGGACTCAATAGAAGTATAATATAATGTTGGCTAGTTATTCTGTACTTGTTGATCACGTGTTGATAGCGGATGGTGTTACTGGTCCTCAAGTGCCAAAGTCCACGGCCCGGAGCTCTGACGTCCCATTGCTTTCCATTTGCGGCATTTGTGCATCCTCGCACTTTTTTTTTGGCATTTTGCCTGAGGAAGTATACACCTCCCTACTACTATGAGACTCGTATCATTCTCCGAAACCTTGAACACGAGAGGCTCACCTGTTCACAACGGACACTCGTTCGGGAACCCCCCTTGCTGCACGGCAGGTCCAGTGAGGTGACCCAGGCCTTCAGGAAGACCTATGAAAAATGTCATGAGATCCAAAGAGATCCCTGGCGAAGAGACGGCCTGCCGAAACGACCAGACGTTTTGTTGCCTTTGGCAGATGTAAGTTTCATTATTTGTTTTGGGCGCATAGAACAAGTTCTTTGCCCTGCATGACAAGCAGTCTCAGTTGTGTATCCGCATGGATTGACAATTGCTTAGGTGGCAAGTCGGCGTTCGCTTGTTGATGCATGTGGAGTGTGTATGTGTTTATGGGGGGTGTTCAGGTTTCGTGAGTCATGCTGACCCACGCTGAGGACCAGTTTCTAGTGCCATATTTCCTTTGGCAGCTTGTGTGCAGTTCTAGTATGTCCTACTTGTCTTGCCTGTTGCTTTGGTGAGTAGTTAGCCTAGCTAGCTGACTACCAAGGCATGCCAACTTGAGCTTTGACACTGAAGCATTACCAATGAGATACCTGGCTGATTCAGCGCCTTTGGATGCAAGAGGCGCCTGGCTTCTCCTTCGAATGCTGGATGCCAGTGACAATGCATCTCAGGTTGGTATGTGCATGGTGGGAACGCGGGTTGGACGCAACTAAAGCCAGCTTTTGCTCAAAAGATGAAAAAGTGGAACTAAACTGACTTCTGGAGATGGATCTTTGGCGGAATCACTTGATGTTGGAAGATTGAATGTGTGATTTGATATGATCCCGGAGCTCTCAGCGATTTTAGGAGGTAATTCGTAGTTTGAGAGCCATGGCGAGGAAGAACAGTGCAAAGGCAGCCCGGAAGGTCTCTCAGGGAGCTCAAGTCCCATCCCCAGCCGGCTCCGCCGGCTCCGCCGGCTCCGCCGCCGCCGGTGGTGCGGATGTCAACTTGGAGTATACAGTGATGTGTTCCTTCTATGCCGTGGGCAAATGCTTGAGGGGCGAGAATTGCAAGTTTGCACATGATCCTACACAGATTCGCGAGAAGCCAAATCTTACCCGCACAAGCTTATGCCATGACTTCATGCGAAAGCGCAGTTGCAAGAATGGAGACAACTGCAGGTATGCTCATGGCGAGAAGGAGCTTCGCCAGGAGAAGACCCAGCCGGAGCCGTCTTTGATGTGGGATCCCATTGGCTTGTCCTCCATGAGCTTCCCGGAGGGTGCGACTTCAGCCACTAAGTTACTCCCATTGATGGAGAAACTAATGCAGAAGCGGCAGCCGCGACCATCCAAAGTGAACCCTGCCACATTCCATGGCTGGAATCAAAGGGCTTGGAGGAGCCAAACGCTGGAGGCCTTGGCCATGGATCTGAAGCTGAAAGTCTCAGCCTTAGGGCCTTAAGGCCTTGGCGCTTTTGGGCCTTCAATTCCCTGAAGTCAACGAAGCTGTCCTTCTAAGGCACAAATCCCTTGCGTTGAGTCGAATGAGGGCTCATGGAATGATCCGTGGAAGGCAGCAAAGTTTTTGCACAAATGACACGGTGCATCTAGGAGTAATTGTACAAAACCTTTCTCTTTATAAGCAATTGCGATAATCCTTGGTTGAGACCCTTCTTCACGCACCGTTTTCCTGTCATCCAACATTTCCCTTTATTGTAGAGGCCATCCTTCAGAAATAGAGCTTTCCTCCAATGAAGTGCATTTGTAATTCACTGAAGTCTTGTCCTTTTCCTAGTCTTCTTTCTGCATCAACGTTTGTATTTTGGTTTGTTTTCAGACCAACTTGTGAGTTTTTCTGTTTTTATAGTACAGAGTTGCAGTGTTTTAGAGTCCTTTTTTTGTCGCAAGCACACCTGTTCTCTATCTTCAATGTAATTGTCAAACATCAGTGTGACCGCAAGGTTGTGATGCAAAAGAACGGCCATATCAGCTGCACATTTGATTCTGCAATCTGGCCGCAGCAAGTACTGCAATTGCTGGGGCAATGGTGCAGCTAGGACTATTTGCAATGAGCCGTTAGGGGTCCAGAATTGACGTGCATATAGATGGGAGCGACCGATATGTCAATTTGTCTACTTGACCGAGTGCTGGATTTGACATCAGGCTCTTCCGAAGAGCTTGGACCTTCCCGTGCACATCCAGAACAACCTGGACATTGACTTGGACGTGCCTCCCTATGACTTTGTCAGGCCAGGTCAAAGCATCAGGTTTTGCAGGGCACTGCGTAGGGTGCAGTCCAGTTTTGTGTTATTGGGATCCTAAAGAACAGATGCTTGTCACCTGTGTGGATGTCAGGTTCCATTCAATGCCTGCTCGCGTGGCATGAGTGTGAGGCGCTCGGTGAAGAGCCGGACCGCTGTAGCAGGACGGATTGCCAGGAGACTTTTGGAGCGAAATCTCAAGTCTAATGCGTCGATTGGTTGACCAATAAAGGCAAAGAGGTATTGTGGAAGTTATTCTGAAGTAGAGATGTGGCACGCATGTACATAATATATACAAAATATATTATATATTGATATTGTTCCGGCACTGGTAGTTCCTTTTGACATGCTGTGAACAATTCCTTCTGTGAGCAATCCTGTTTAAGCCGGGGTTGGGCGTAGTCCACAGGATCAGTTGCACATGAAGTCAATGGACATTAATTACGGTGGAACGACATTGGGGATCCTTGGAACTATCGTCCCGAGCATGCTTCAGGTCCGGCAACCTGAAGCTTCTTTTAAGCTCAGTTCCTAGAAGTTTAATGGATCTATATCTGGTTATGGGTCGAGCAAGGACGCTACCCACGTAGCGATCTATTTTTTCACCGCAGGCGACGCTGTGCTTTGGTAGACTAGTCCATAGTCCTGCGCAAGGAGTCGCAGGACCAGGGCTGGTATTGGGGATTCCGGAGAATCTGTCAAACTATGTGACTATCTGAGACCCTCGCAGACTGTTGTGGGTTATTTTGGCAGCAAACTGTTGCATCATGCCATGAGGAATTTTTTTAAAAGAAGTGCAGCGAATTTGCCTGTTGGCGTTGAATACTGCAAGTCTGTTTGAAGTGGGACTATGACTGCAAGGAGTTCAATCATGCTCCTACGAAGTGGAAGAAGCCAAGCATAGGAATTTGCTGAACCTTCCTCAGGTCTTGATGAGAAAGTCTTGGTGTTGTGGTGTTTTTGGCACTTTCAAAGAGAGTGAAGGTTCTGGCAGTGCCCACAGTGCATGGATGTCCAATCCTGCAGTGAGCCAAGTTTCAGTGCATCGAATGCGGTTCATGCGGCTCGTCGTGACCACTGCAGACCCAACTTGCGTCATATCGCCCATCGCGTTCGTGACGCAAAAAATGGTGAAGCCGAGTAGCAGGGAGCGGCCTCATGCGAGTGGCCGAAGCAGAGTGCGCTCAGTTACAAGACCTCAGTCTAAAGCACCCAGTTTCAAGACCTGAGTCTGTGATTTCGTGCCCAAGCCACCGACGCTGTACAAAAAGATCCAAGAAGACACGAGCAAGAAGCTGGAAACCCTAGCAACTTGGGAACTTGAGATGATTTTCTATGCTAGGAGACATAGTGAAGAGAGCAGAGCAGCGGTCACTTCTTCCACCAAGCACTCGAGATTCCAACTCTTTGATCGGACGGAACATCCATCACAGTGAGCGCTTCCATGGCCACAGATGGTCCCTTGCCGTCACGGTGTGCTTTTGGTCATGTGGCAAGTACTGTAGACAGGTAGGTAGGTAGGCAGGCAGGCAGGTATGGTTGATACCATATCGACTCTCAGAATGCCTTCGAGTGTCATCTGCGACTTTCTCTTTCCCTTCGGAGATCTAGGCCCAAAATGGTGCTTTCGGGATGCCGGGATGCCGTGATGTGCCGAGATCGAGTTGGTCGGCCAGACACTGCTTTGAGGCTACCCTTCACATGCGAATGCTGAAGAGATGGGGGACGGCCCAGATGCAGCCGAGAAGTCACACTTTTTAGAAGTTTGCTACTTGTCTGAAATGTCTGATGTTTGTGTATGGTAACTTTGAGGGTCTGACTCGTGCTTAGAGTCACTGTTTGGTTGAACACGCAAGGCTATTCTTTCTTGGAGTATGGCACTGATGCCTTCTATGACCTGGGTCGGATGCAGGAGCTTGCAACACCGCTGTGTGAATTGCCTTTCACGTTTGTTGCAGTACCCGTGGGGCAGAGAGCTCTTCAGGACACTATTCAAAGCTTGGATAAAGACGACCAGGCCATGTGGAAAGTGCCGCCACTTCCCTGGCTCCTTGGCAGAGAAAGTTGCTTGATGCTTCTTGTTGGAATTGACTCATTAGCAGTTCTGTTTGCATGTTCAGGTATTCAGAGATTCAGCGTCGAGTGCAAGTGAATCTCGACTTCCTGAGGCCCGGTTGGGCCCGATTAGTAATTGGGCATCCCCCCTTCCAGGTGCAGAAGCAGGCAACCTTCTGTGTGAAGCTGCTCTTCCCCAAGCATGCAAAGCCTCTTAGGAAAAACACCCGGCGATGATAGCCGTGGCGGCGCCCTTCCTTGTCCAGGTCTGTGTGTCCTCCTTCGCCGCCCCATGGGCCCTTTCTTCTCCGTGTCAATTTGTCTGGTCCTTGTCCAGTTGTCAGCCCTCTTATCATGCCTTGTCCGGGCCTTGTCCCCTGCTTGGCCGCACAGTCTTTGCTTTCTCCATGCTTGTTTGCTTGTGGCTATGAATGCAGGGCGTGCCAACAATTTGTGTTTTTTTGTGTACGTGCTGTGCCCAAACAGCTGGAGACTATAGGAATATAATTGCAGACGTTGTCACCAAAATTGGAATTCAAGCAACTGACGCAACAACAATACATCTGAAACTGTTTTGGGTCTATGCTGGTATGATTGGACGTTTTCAAAGCCAACATGTGCTCCATGACTTGAGACATTTCAGAATTAGGGGCTGAACAGAAACCGCAGGATGATGCCGAACCCAGAAGTTTGTGGAGCAGATCTGGGGGATCAAGCATGGAAGCTGGCAGCTGGCTGAGTTTTTCGTGTGAAATCCTTGATATTTTTGGCACACAAACATGAGGACCAATCAGTTGCCACAAGTAGGCCAGGACATTTGTGGGGTGGAGAAGGTCGGAGGGCAACTGGAGCTCAGGTTACCACCGTCCCGCAAGGGCACCGCGTGGCCAGCAGGAATTCTTCCAAGGTCGGGCGAACAGAACATTCTTTCTTGGAAATTAAAGCAGTTATGTTTGAGGCCAGGAGGCCATCGCTAGTAGGTTGGAGGCCATTGCTACAACAACTCTTGAGAAGTTTTGTACGATCGAGATAGCGTGGTGGCTTCAGGTGCGATCCACATTGCGCCAGTTTGTTCGAGATTGGGCCAAAGAAGGGCAAGCTGAACGAGCAGCCAGCTATACGCCTTTGGTGTCTGCACTACTAAAGTATATGCCACCACCAAAAGGTGGATGCTTGGCAATGCATGGGGTAGGGAGGGCTCACATCGGTTTGCCCTTGTACAACTGAAAGCATGCTGTGGGCAGTGGACGAAGCATTCTATGCATGACTCATGACTCAAAGGATCCCTTGACTTGTGTCAAGACACAACCTTTTGGCATAGACAGTCTTTCTATACAATCTATACACGCTTCAATTTCTGTACAGGTGTTGTTAGTTGTTAGCTTGCTTTCGTGCCAATGAGTTGTGATTGCACCAACAGCTTTGATGCAAACATCTATGTTCAGCGTGTGAAGCTCTGAGTTGAACACTGCCAGGTCGTGTGGAATGTCATCCTTTTGGTGTACGGGCGTACGTCGTGCGTAGAAGGTCAGTTTAGATGTTGACCATTGACACCATGCGACGTGATGCGACAGAGGCAAGGGCCCAGTTCCTGCGATTCTTTGCCCTGGCTGTGGCCTTGCGCGGCTGCCCTTTGACCTGGTGCGTTTGGGCTATGCCGCCCAGGGGAATGAGTCTCTAGGCTTACCCAGCTTGCTTCGTGAATAGGAGGAGGGATTTTGTGAATCACAAGACGCCTGTCAGCCATACGCACAAGGGCACCCCATATGGGGTGGGAGTTCATGTCGACCAAAGACTGGTTGCAAGAAATCCTTGAATGTCTTGGGGGTGTCCATTTTCAATGATGAAGATGCCTCCTAACCACACCCCATATGGGGTGCGAGTTCTTGCAATGATGCGGGCCGTTGAGGGCAGGAGAGAGAGAGAGAGAGAGAACGAACAGAATGCAGCGGGCAAGCTTTGAGTTGCTTGGGGGTGCCCCTTTTTAATGGTGAAGAGGCCTGCTGACCAGACGCAAAAGGGCACCTCATAGGGACTCCAACCCAGAAGCGATGGCCTCCAGTCTAATAGCAATGGCATCCAACCTAATAGCGATGGCCTCCAACCCAGAAGCCACCTAATAGCAATGGCCTCCAACCCAAGAGCGATGGCCTCCAACCCAGAAGCGATGGCCCCCAGCCTAATAGTAACGGCCTCCAACCTAATAGCGATGGCCTCCAACCCAGGGGAGTTCATGTGCAGGACAGGCATAGCGGGGGAGGATGTGATAGGAAAAGAGGTGGGGAGCTCACCAGGGATCTCGTGCTCACCCCCCTCGTGCTCACCCCCCATGACCCCCTTCCTTCTCAGGTTTGTTTTATATTCACGTCGCTTCGCGACGGTAACCGCCCGCACCGCACGGGAGGGCTCAAAGACTGCAGTCATGCTCCAGGAACGGGTCAAGGTAGGTACTTCCATTGAACATAGAACGTGGCCGAACATAGCTTCCATATTGCCTAACATAGCGCTAGAATGTGGGAACGTCGCAAATTGGTGTATCTTTTCCGCAGGTAGCTTGAGACGTTCGCCGGATATTGGGCTCAACAGGAGCAGGTGCAGCTATACGACAGGTGTGGCCACATGTGCACCTACCTGAAGCTATCTTGGACTATGTTGGGGGGCAAATGGGACGTATCTTTAGTTTATTCCAGTCCATTTCGAGCCCTCGTGGGGCCATGTTTGCGACGTTCAAGTCCCTATTTCGAGAAAACACCATGTTCGACAATATGGAAGCTATGTTCGTTCAAGTCCCTATGACTTCTAGGGCTATTTTAGGCAATATCTTTACTTTATTCCAGCCCCTTTTGAGCCCTCGTTGGGCCATGTTTACGACGTTGAAGTCCCTATCTCGAGGAAGCATGCTTGAGATAGTGACTTCTGGGGCTATGTTCGACCATATGGAAGCTATGCTCGTGAGAAAATGTTACCGTTCCTGGACCTGATCTCTGCTTATCTCTGCTCCTGTGGAGCCAAATATCCGGACATTCAAGTCCCTATCTCGCGGACACGTCCTTTAGATAGTGACTTCTAAAGCTATGTTAGGCAATATGGAAGCTATGTTCGGTCACGTTGGGGGGGTGCTTTATTCCAGTCCTTTTTGAGCCCTCGTTGGGCTATGTTTACGACGTTCAAGTCCCTATCTCGCAGACACGTCCTTTAGATAGTGACTTCTAGGGCTGTGTTAGACAATCTCTTTACTTTACTCCAGTCCCTTTTGAGCCCTCGTTGGGCCATGTTTTGCGTTCAAGTCTCTATCTCGCAGACACGTCCGTTAGATAGTGACTTCTAGGGCTATGTTAGGCAATATGGCAGCTATGTTGAGCCACGTGAAAATGTTACCGTTCCTGGACCTGATCCCTGCTTATCTCTGCTCCTGTGGAGCGAAATATCCGGACATTCAAGTCCCTATCTCGCGGACACGTCCTTTAGAGAGTGACTTCTAAAGCTATGTTAGGCAATATGGAAGCTATGTTCGGTCACGTTGGGGGGGGGGGCTTTATTCCAGTCCCTTTTGAGCCCTCGTTGGGCTATGTTTACAACGTTCAAGTCCCTATCTCGCAGACACGTCCTTTAGATAGTGACTTCTAGGGCTATGTTAGGCAATCTCTTTACTTTATTCCAGTCCCTTTTGAGCTGTCGCTGGGCCATGTTTTGCGTTCAAGTCCCTATCTCGCAGACACGTCCGTTAGATAGTGAGTTCTAGGGCTATGTTAGGCAATATGGAAGCTATGTTGAGCCACGTTAGGGGAGCCTGTTCAGCCAAATGTCCGGCCTCAGTCCAATTACACTTTACCCCTCAGATGATTCAAATCATGCAAAGGAAGAAAATTGAATTTCTTGCATCACCAGGGGCTTCAAAATAGCACGAATTCATCTTCCAGCATTTCCAAAAACGTGAGAACACACAGGATTCTAGAGCGAAACTGGCCCCCCCTAGCTAAAGCTATTGGCTTGCATATGCTAGCTTACGTATAGCGCGTGCCCTAAAAAACGCCTCGGCACCTTCGGTGCGGGCGGATTTTTTTTTGTTACTTTATTTTTTGTGTGTGTGTTGTCTGAGGTTTTCCTACCACATGCTACTCGGCACCCATCTGATCCTCAATCGCAGCGAGAAAGCGGAGTGCTTCAACATCTTCCCCTTTGTGCGACCTGGGCCCAAACTGTTCGAGTTGGTTGAGCCAGTTGAGCCAGGAAGGTTGGTGTCGGGGTGGCCGGCTGCGATAGGTTGCGACACTGATTTCCTGAAGAGGACAGAGACATCTGAAAGACCACCTGGGACGTAGAAGACACTGCAAATACGTGGTAGGGATGTTGGGGTGCAGGAGTTCTTGCGTTGACAGTGTCCCATCAAGGCTCTCAAGTTCCAAGTGTTTCTGTGTGCATGGCCTTGTCACCCAGGCTCACATTGGCAAACCGGCGGCTTGGTCTATATAACAGAAGAACGTCGAATTTGCCAATTTTCAACCATGGAGTGTGCTTGCACTGCTGATTTTTGAGTGACTTTTGGGGGGTCACACGCTTAGACGGATACATATGTTCTTTTGAACACTTGGAGTTCCTTTCAATTCCCATGGCTCCCTGACCGTCAGACACTGATGGGGAACCTCTTCCTTTGGCCAGTGAGCAGCTATGGAAAATAGAAAGGATGATACACGAATCTGATACAAAGTTCCTATCCAACAACACACAAACAACTGTGACCCACGAGACGAGCTTCACGAGTTGTCACAGACACATGGGCAGGAGAAGCAGGCAGAGGCATGATGGTTGAGTGCTAATTATTTCGATCTTTTCTGTGGATTTTTTTCAACGTTTTGAAGCTTGGTGCTCAGGAAGGGAAGATGGGATCACCTCAGATGCGTGAAAGTGCCAGATGTTTGCCCTGTGGAAGCTTTGGGCCCTGCAGCACAGCTGTCAATGGCAGCAGGCGAATCTCGGATGGAACATTGACTATTGACCATTGTGAACCTGAGAAGGGGTCAGTAGTTGTATCTCTTTGTATTTTCAGATGTGATAGATAGACTGATAGACTATGTAGAGTTGTTTTTTAATTGTTTTTGCTGCCAAGGAGTTTGTAGAGGTCTACAAGACTCAAGCACTTGGGCGGCATCAAACGCACCGAAAGTCCAGAGAGTGTAGGATCATAGCAGCACTAGACTGGCTGTAGTGCAACCGAACATACAGAAACCTAAGGAGTCGGCATGGGATGGCATGGCCACATGCTTCTTCCTTGATACAGCGAAGAATGTGCGGCCCATCTGAATGGCTCATGACCACATGCACCACATGTGCTTCTCATGACCTGTGCAGGTCGCCGCAACACTAGTAGCGTCCTTGCTCCTAGTAGCGATGCCCTTTGCTACTAGTAGCGTCCTTGTTCCTAGTAGTAAGGCCAGGAGCCCCTAGTAGCGTCCTTGCTCCTAAGGTTCCTGTACATTCGGACAATAGCTTACATCATTCGGAAAGGTGGCATATGGACGAACCTGGGTCCTCTCCTCTACCACTATGCCGACGTACCTTGGACGGAGATGACGCACCTTGTTCTAGGACCGTTGGAAGCTGTTAACCGTTGGAAACCTGATATGCCAGCTGAAAAGCAACATATTTGGGGTGCAACTGAGGTGCCGCACGAAATCTCCATTGAGCTTAGCTGGGAAGAAGTGCGACCATACATTTGCCAGTATTTCGATTTCGTTGAGGACCGTTTCAGTATTGAAGACCTAGATTTTCTGACCGAAGGTTTTGTATCATTGGTTTGCCATTCCTGCCGATGGTTAGACCACTGATCAAGGAGGAGGAGAAAGTGGCAAGATATACCGGCAATGCGGAAGGTTTGAGTATCAACCGCTATCGGTGTATCTTCTTCGTGGCGACACTCAATTGCAGTTAGAAAGTGAGATGTAGAAGCGACGGACCATGAGGACGAAAGTGACGAGCTGATTCTTGGGGGTCTTTCAATGTTGTGTCATTTCTGTTGGCTTAGCAACTTAACGTGACCAAACATGTTCAAAAGACATTCTTCCGGTTTGAAGCTGCCACTCGTAGACCTCTCTGAGGAGACGCAACGGCAAGCCTGCAGAGGGCCATTCGAATCCGGTCTTCTAAAACTGCAAACAGAGCTGTTTGCCTTCGCCGCAAAGCACGGTGTCAGGACGAGGAACGAACAAAAAGTTCTGTTCGCTCACGCGAAGTGCCGGATGTGAGCAAACAAAGAGGGATGGCTTTTCAATGGCACTGATGACTAGATCTCCCAGTCGCCCTGGAGGAAAAGATTACTTTGCGTCAGGGCACTGGGAGCTACACAATACACAGACAGGCAACAGAATGGCTATTTAGATAGGTAGACATTGCATCACATGGACAAGCACAATCAAAGACACACAGTCATGAGATGAGCTTGACCTGCAACTTCCTGCAAATGTTTGTGTGTGTGAAATGACTCTTCTAGGTGACTGCTTTCCATTTATGGAAGCCTCAATAGTGCCAACTTTGATAAGAAACAACATTGCTTTCGCGTGCTTGCATTTGAACCAAGGTACCACAAGAGGTTTGTTCCATGTCGGTGTGGCCGCTGTTTTCTTCTAGGGTTTACGGTCCATCAACCAAGACAAAGTCCCCGTGGCAGCAGTGAGACTGCTGACAGCAAGGGGCCTCAGGAATATATTTTTCTTTTTGGCCTTGATTGCTACCATGCTCTAAACTGTCCTTGACTCCAGGCCACTAGGGCGCGGCATGGCTTGGCGCACTTTGTTTGGGCTGTCCAATCCTGAATCCACAAGCTTTTATGTTGGTCAACGTCGATGTGATATGATCTAATTGAAAGAGGGAAAAGAATGCCTTCCTTGCAACCTTGATCACTGTCTTTGTGCGAAGAATGAGAGAGCTTTTTAAAGGTTGGCCCTAGCAGAATGCTACCTCCTCAGATGTGACAGTCCCTATGCAGACTCATTTATGGGTTGCTTTCCTAGGCCATGGAGACTTTATGAATCTGCGTCATGAAGAACCTAGGTGCGACAGCTACCGGTAAGAGTGTCAACTAGCCTAAGTGGCCATTTTTCCAGTTTCCATCACTCCCAAACTTCCGGCTGTGTCAGGCTTGCAAATTTAGCACAATACCATCTCCAGCTTCAGGAGCTGCGGTCGAACGTAGGGGCGAAAGAACGTGAAGATGTGAGTTGGCCAGGACCATTTCGATCCGAGCAACAACAAGACTTGGCATCAGGCAAAGATTGGACCGACCATTGTGTAGTTTGAACCGACCATCCAACCTCCATTTTTGGCTTTGCCTGAAAGCTGGCGAGGAAAACAACCAAGCTGTACAACGGCGGTAGATTTGATTGTTACTTCTTAGTTAGATGCTAGCTTGTACTTTTCACGTGATAACACACACACATGGAAAGAATGGAGGTTTGTGGGTCCGTGGGTACGCTCCTGACTTTCCACGTAGAACCTGTTGCCCCTGCAGCCCTTTGCTTGAGTCATCGGTGGTAAGAAGTTCAACACTTTGTGTGACACTGTGACGCCGGGGTGTCAGGGTGACGCCCGAAGCTGTGGGCCCTGCTGTTTGTTCAGGGTGACGCGTGCCTGCAAGGCTTACTATGTGAACGACACGTTTTGGAAGCCTCAGAGCTCTGCGCCAATCTTCCTCTGTGTGGGCGGAGAAGGCCTTCTTTTTTGATACGGCAGGATCGCCGAGCTCAGAGATTGGGTGGATAAAGGCGTTTTCATTTTTTTTCCAGATTTTTGCCGGTTGATGAGCCGAACAAAAAACGACAGGATACCAGGATACCCATTCCTTTCCTGTTGTTGGACCACTTGGAGGTCCTGCCTTGGATGCCTCTGCCGTGCAAAACTCGGTGCACTGCAACATTGCAGTGGAGTGGCTCAAAGAGACCAAGGCGACCAGAAATTTGTAACCGTCGTATGTTCATGTCTGTTCATTGATTTTAAGTGAGGACAGATGTGCTGAGACTTTTGTTGGAACATGGGCATCATTTACATAACTATAATTCGGCTAGTCCTTGGTGTTTCCTCAAGCTTGTTATCAGCATCAAATAGCCCAGTACTCAAGCACAATGATGAAAGTCAACTATTGCGAGTTATGAGCAATCCTCCTGTGAGCCTTTTGTGAACACATATATGGCAGGGGGCATAGAGCTTCCCGATCAAATGCAAGTGCTTAAAGACTACCTACACGTTGCTTACAGTCGTGCAATACTCATTAACATTAGGACATTTGCCGATTCAGAAACCCGCCGATCAGGTCGACCATTAACATCCATTAACATTACGCTGTCCAAATGGTTATTCTCAGAACAAACTAAATGTCCAAATAAGATTTTGACAAAAAATGCCACATGTATTTCTTTCGTTGGCTGACAATGGCAAGGATTAGTTTGCATTTGTTCACTTCATAAATTTACATTTGTGGTCGATTCATTTGTCAGTTTTCTTCGGCAGTGTCATTTTCGCGCGTGGTATAGTCCGGTGTCAACCGGCGTGTTGCGATGGTATCTCTGCAGTGCTATGTTGGTCTGGAGAGGTTGCCATTTTGGTCATTCAAGGTTGAATGCCGTTTGATGAACAGCCAACAAACGACTCAGCATCTCCACCAGGCATTGATGTTTGCATTGGAGCATCGCTACTACGGCTGTCAAGCCCTTTGTGAGTCTAGTTGCACTGGACAAAATTGATGTATCGTTTTTTTGAATTATAATTTCTTGAGTTTTCTTCATTGCAAGTCGCTGTAGACTCAGGCCACAACAGTTCCGCATGTCCAGTGCAGGATTTGACCAGCGCCGTCCTTTAGATTCTGCTGTGTGACACTTTGGGTTGTAGACGGATTGGAAGGGCTGACTCAGTCTTCACTACTTCACTACCACCCGATACTTTGGTCCATCTGTATCTATATAAGTCTAGCGCAAGGCTGAATTGATTTAACGTTGCTCCACATGTCTTTCAGGCCAAGTCATATCAAAATGAACAATCTCTTGACTCCCGTCCCTTCGCCCCAATCTCTTGACTCAAAGTTCAGGAGGCTCAAGCCACGCCCCTTCAACGAGTGCAGTGCGGGCAGATTCGGAAGAAAGACTCATGAATCCCTGGTGTTGCGAGAAGAGTCTCACCATCCTTCTGCTGAGACGGCCCAAGAAGCTACTAGTAACAAGTGCATCACTACTAGTAACAAGGGCATTACTACTAGGAACAAGAAGCTACTAGTAGCAAGGCACCTTACTACCAGTCACATCAAGCTACTAGTAGCGATGCCCTTGTTACTAGTAGCTTCCAGCTGGTGTTGCTGAGAAGGCCCAAGCTTGTGATCCTGACTTCATACGGAAGTATTGGTTGGAATAGCTGAGGTCCAGATTCCCTGAGGTTTCTGTCTTCTCGACAGGTGCACCATGAAATCCGGTTTTTCGGATGCAGAAGGGTTTAGAGAGGTGTCAGAGAGTCAATTCTTTACTACTGTCAGATGATTATGCTGCTCACCTTTCCAGCTGAAAACGCGAAGAAACTGTCATTGCCAAACATGTTTGTTTAACATTTGACATTGATTGTGCTGAACAAATCATACTTAGTTTTTCACCATCACATAGGCGGTGGAGGACATTGCGAGTTTCGTCAAGGCAATGAATGCGAAGCATTCCTTGAAGAGGATGGGCAGCTTTCACGGATCGTACAGTCAATTGGATGTGATTGGATGAAGGTTTCCCATAGTCTAGACAAGTGGAGGCAATATCTCGTCAGATTATGTTTGTTTGTTTGTTTGTTTGTTCTCGCTCTCGTTCTCGTTTACTTTGCGTTTGATTTGCTTAGTTAGGTGCGGTCACCGTGTTTTGGCAGGAACCCTTGGATTACTTGGGGTGGCAGCTATCCTGGGATGCTTGCAGGGTGGCAGGGCCCTCGGTGGCCGCAGGGAAGCCTGCGCAGATACTGCAGCAAAGACCCGTTGTAAAAGGTGGAAGCTGAACTGTAGTTCATCTTCTACTTTCGATCATCATAGCAGGTAGCAGAACCCAAGAAGCATGAGACCAGATGGTGAGAATGATTATACATTATTGTATTTGGTGACAAACCAGCCTTTCAGTGCTCAACTCCCGCGGTGAACTTGACCGAACTTTTTTTCGCCTCCGACCGAAGGATTCGTTGCAGTGGAAGTTCTCATTGTTTTTGCTTCGGCTACGATTGTTTTTCTTTGTTGTCCGTCCACAAAGATGCTATATACAGAATATAATATAATATAATATAATATATATATATAGTGTGATGTAATGTAATGTAATACAATACAATACACTATAATTAATATAACATAAATATATAGTACAATATAATATGTGTTGTTTTCGTTTGGCGTTGGTTGCTTCGAGTTCCATGAGGTCCCGTCTGAAGCACCCAGAGCTGATCCATGCCTCGGTGGCCTCCTCGGCGCCGGTCTTTGCCACCTTCGACATGTTGCTTGGCGGATCTTTGGTGGAGCTGCATTTACCCCCTACCGCTACTAGGGGGCTCCTGGCCTTACTGCTAGGAGCAAGGACGCTACTAGGGGGGCTCCTGGCCTTACTACTAGGAGCAAGGACGCTACTAGGGGGC